TAGGCTGTTCAGTTTACCTACTAAATGTGTGAAAGTCAGAGGTGGGCCTGTTTTTTATCCCACTATCAAACCCTAAATATTGACAGTTGAACTCTTATGAAATACTCATAATTCGTAAACATAAATTTTGCTTTCTAATTACTGAATAAAGTTATTCATACTACGGTATAGAAATGCTATGGCTGTCCGTCCTCCTTTTTTAATGTTTTTTTAAAAAATATTCCTATTAATGGGTTTAAATTTTTCAATGTATTTTAAAATTTGCTGTTGTACTTGATATTTATTCATCTTGATATGAATTTTTTTTAACAAAAAGAAAAAAAATGTTGTCTTCCTTCACCAAGTATTTCAACCTGATGAAGCTATGAGCACTGAAGAAATCTTAGGTATCATTACAGATTGTATGGCTATAGAGACTAATTTGATTCGGAACTTAATAACTGCAGCAAGACTTTTGGTGGCGCAGTACTGGAAGAAGGAAGATTTACCTACTATTCAAGAATGGACATTAAAAGTAGTAAATTTAGCAGAAATGGCGAAAATTTCAGCATATCTAAAGGACTATTCAAATGAGAAATATATGTTAGAATGAAAAAGATGGATTGATTATATTCAAGGCAAATATCGGACTAAAAAATTTCAAATGGCTTATGAATGATCAAAGAGATTTTATAAAGTACTTAAATTTAGTTTAGTAAAAGGGGAGTTAAAAGTTCAAGAGGGGGATAGGAGACTATAGATAATTAGCTTATGTTAGCTTATTTTAGCTTATGTTAGCTTAGCTTATTGTCAAATGTTATACCCTGTATTTTGCTCTGGGAAGTGGGGGGGGGGGGAGTTGGAAGGGGAGCAGGGAGGGGGAAGGGGAAATGTTTGTAAAACTTTTTAAAACTTTTCAATAAAAAAAGAAAGAAAGAAAGAAATCTTCATCCAGGTAACTTGAAAGTACACCTGGGAAAACTTTGCAGCATTTGGAACATGGAATTATCCGCAAGGGCAAAGGATATTTCCGCTGCAGTGAACTAGCTCAGGGGTCTCCAACTTGGCAACTTTAAGACTTGTGGACTTCAAAACCGGCTGAGGAATTCTGGGAGTTGAAGTCCACAAGTCTTAAAGTTGCCAAGGTTGGAGACCCCTGAACTAGCTGGATGCACTGCTTTGAGTTGCTTCACCAGTGCACTTTGCATGGAATTGCAGCAAGGGGCCAGAGTTTCTCTGTACAGGTAGTCCTCAATTTTTGTTGTTAAGTGAGGTATTTGTTAAGTGAGTTTTGCCCCATTTTACAACATTTCTTGCCACGCTTGTTAAGTGAATCACTGCAGTTGATAAGCTAGTAACCCAGTAGTTAAGTGAATCTGTCTTCCCCGTTGATTTTGCTTGTCAAAAGACTGCAAAAGGCGATCACATGACCTTAGGACACAGCAATGGTCATGTATGAGTCAGTTGCCAAGCATCTAAATTTTGATCACATGATCATGGGGATGCTACAAAGCTTGTAAGAGTAAAAAACGGTCATAAGTCACTTTTCAGTGCCGTTGTAACTTTGAAAAGTCATTAAATGAACTGTTGTAAGTCGAAGACTACCTGTTCTTTTGAAGAGATGCATCAAATCATCTCACTTAAGGTTTCCTCAGCTATATGAGCAGGCTGTTCAACAATGCAGCATTCAGATGTGCTAAGTGAATTACATTTAGCAGTGCTAAATAATCTATTTACTTTCAATGAAAGTTGTTCATGGAATGTAGTATTGTGCAGAACATTGAGAAACACTCCAACACAAGTTATATTGTGGAAAACTGTTACAAATTGCAGTAGTTGATCTGTGATTATTTACAGTCTTAAGATTAGATAGATGGCTTTTTCAGAAACCATTCCTCAGTAAATCATGCTCAATAGATGGACAGAACTGCAAGGGGCACTGCACTCATTAGAATCTGCTACAGACCAGGGCAGAGTTTGTGTTTATCTTAAAATGTGCATGGTACATATAAAAGATTATCTCCTATTGCCCATTTTTATCCTCCGTCCAAATCCTCCTTTATGTTTAGAAAAGTTAAAGTGAAAGAAAGTTTTTCGTATGATGTTAATAATTTTTTTAAAAAAATCCATTCCTTTCTTCTTTTAATTTAGTGGATCTAGTCCCAAATGAACAATATAAAAGGGCATTATTTCTTAGAGAACTCAGATTGTGACAAAATAATATATTTTTATATTCTCCCTGAAGAACACAGATAGATAGTTGATTACTACCTTGCACTTAAACTATTTTTTAGCAAATATCAACTCTAAAAAAGGCTTATCATAAACTTTGTTGCCATTTTTTCCTACCAATCTAACTTTTTAGCCTCTCCGCGCATATATCTGGATTTAATACAATCACAATGTTACATTTATTTCGATGCAGCATCCAGATTTTTTCTAAGCAAGTTTTACTCTAGAGCAGGGGTGTCAAACTCGCGGCCCGCTGGCCGGATGTATCACCTGCTGAACACACACACACGCACGGTTTTAGCGGAGGGCAAAAAAGCCACGATACGTCACGTGACGACGCGAGTTTGACACTCCTGCTCTAGAGAATTCAGATAATCCTATATTTAAATACGTACAAGACATTCCCAATTTTGTAGTTTCTGTAGGCTTAATGTACAAACCCATATCCAGCTTTAACCCCACATAGATCCAGTTTTGAAGGCTGGATCCCATCCGATTTCGTCCTCCACCTCTTCCTTAATAAGAGGAACATTTTTTCTTTCATTTACATCATGTAAAAAATGTATGATACTACCCTTGTCACTCAAAGCTTATTTTACTGTGGTGGCTGTCTCTTTGTATTGATTCATGTCCTCAAATTGTGACAATGGCAAAAATTCTGAAAATGCAGCAAAGGATTCTTTTAAAAGATTCTTTAGACTCAGTGCATTCAGGACAAAGAATTCCTAAACTTTAAACAATAGAGAGGCAACAAGTAAAGTAACTTCTTGGAAAGAAGGCTTGTAAGTATAATTGGTATTTGTTCTGCAAAAAACGGGATTTTCTGTCTTCATTGTGAGTTGTATTGTGTTGGGGGGGCTGCACTGAGGGAGCTCAACCAATTTCATTGTACATATGTTGTACACTGACAATAAAGATTTGAAATTTGAATTTGAAATCGTCGCCACTATCACCATCACCATCATTAACAAAAGGAAGTGCATAAGTAAGAAATAAGCACATTTTCTAAAAGGAAACTTTACTATTTTAGGTGGTGGGTGAAAACAACAACAACTTATGTTTTCTTCATAAAGCAGAACCACGGCAGTGTAAATACAAAAGTTTAGGAATAGGCAATTTGATAGGTACAACACGAACAAATGACTGAATTTATTGTCCACAAAGGAGGCTGCAGGTGCCCAGTATTAATTTGGTTGTGCAGTTAAAAGTCAGTACACTGCTTTAATGTTCCAAACATGAGCTAAAACGCCTTCTTTTAGTCATTAGATTGGATGGTTTTAGTCTGAAACGCTACGGCTTTCTCCATCTTTGCACCCTGGGTTAACAAGCAATATGTTTTAAGTTGACTTAGCTGTTCACCAACCCCAACTAATCAGCCAGTGCAGCTCAAAAGCCAGCCACCAACAGCCATACAAGCCTGCCAACATGCTGCCCGCAGCAGAGTCAAACCAGAAGCTCCTGACAAACAGATCACTTATAAAATGAGTCTGTGGTTGACATTTTCCTGTTCCAGGACTGGGGCAAATGCCATTGATGGTATTTAGTATTTCAGACAATGAAGCCTCTTGGTGCCTTCCAGAGTTTTTGGACTACAATTCTCATAATTCCTATTCCAACCAGGATTATATAACTTGTAGTGTATCGTAGTTGGAGCACATCAGGTTTGAGAAGACTGGTACACAGGATTCACAGGCTGAAATGTGTTTCTTTTGGTTGAATTGTTAAGGTATTTTGATTCTTTTTTTTTAAAGGAATTATTACAAAATAGATAGAAACACAAAAAAAACCCCCACCACCTCCACTTAACCTGTCATTTTTTTTCCCCATTAAAAAAAATATTCAGGGGCTTGCAATGCAACATTTATATTTCTTACATGGAGAAAATGAAACATTGCTTGCTGTCTTTGTTTGCTCTTGGGGAAATTAGAAAAAGAAAAAAAGATCATCCCTCTTTCGTTAATTTTAAGTGAAGATGCACAGCTTCTCCAGGATATATACTCTTTAAGAAACTACCCAGCTGAAATTGTGCAGCCCAATCTTCATTCTGTGTACTCAAAAGCCAGTCTTATTTGTGCTCTGTGGACCTTAAATCTGTTAAGAGGAGAATCCAGGATTTCCTCTGCAAAGCCCCTGTTTATCAGATCTGACAAAGACTTCCACATCTTCAGGGAGTGCAGATTAAGCACACGCCTAACTTTTCTACAGAAGAAGCCAATGAGGCCGTTTCGTTTGGTCAATATAAAAAAGTGTGGAGGCTAGAATGATTTGTCAGAGGTAAACTCTGGACGTTGCAGATAAGGATAACATCACTGGAGGCAAAGTGCGAATTTAGCCACTCATCTGAAAATGTATCTTTAAAAACAATACAGGAGAACTGGTATACTGATTTAAATCTCAGCTTTTACAATATGTGCTTGAGCACATACAAAGATCTTCTTTTATTTAACCAGTGTTTTGCTCCCCCCACCCACCCATAATACAAACTCTTATCTACTAATGAGATTTTAAAAGCAAAAACAAAAACAAAAAAAAACCAAGGACACATTTCCCTATAAAGTTGGCATGCAAACAGTGAATAGCATTCCAAGGTGTTAAAATAGTTTAATATAGATGCTACTGCAGAAATCAGAGGGAGGGAAGGAGATTAAACACAAAGAAATGTCAACAGCTACCACATGCAAGGAAACTAGGTTACAAGAATCACAGCCCCAGGCATTCCTCCAATCACCAGGGAACACAGGAAGTGAAACGCATAGCAACCACAAGCCCCAAAGCAGAAAAGCGCATACCTTCAGCTTGGAATGAAAATCACGAGATTTCCTTCTGGCAAGAACCTGAATGTGACTAGACACCTGCAGGGTAGGGGAAGGGAGGGAAACAAAGGAAAAGCCTGTAACCATGGAGATGAAAAGCCCCCTACAACTGGGCAAGCCAAACGTACCTTAATGGCAGCTTGAATTTCTCGAACTTTCTTCCTGGCTAAGACCTGTATGTGACTAGACACCTACATTGTTTGGAATTTTAAGGGGGAAAAAAAGGGAGAACAAAGGGGGAAAGGGAGAGAAGAGAAATAAAAAAAAAAAAGAACATGAGAAATCAAATTTATGCCTGGAAAAAAGAAGGAAAGAAAGAAAAAAAAAACCCAGAAAGTTTCTTCGGGGAAAGTATTTTGCATTATCAGTAAGCTTTGCTATTAAGAGATCGTATTTCCCAGCCATGCACCATATTTCGTAGCACAAACATTTTACCAATGCTGGTCATCGCTGCAGTGATTTAAAGGAAGAAAAACTTTTTAGACTATTATATCTTGAGCTCTTTTCTTAAAATTGTTTTGACTACAGCCTGTGTAACTGTAATCTGATGCTATTCAAATTTTCAGATGTTCTTCAAAAGTAAACAAATTAAAATTTAATTATATGGAATTACTAGATATATATTAGACACACACACAAAAAAAAAATAGTAAGCAAGATTTGTATCTTTTCCCAAAACAAATAGCTCTAAATTCAACTCAGTAAATATCACAAGCACTTAAATGGCCTAGCAGCACTTCAATTAAACATTTTTATAAACACATACTTACGTATATTCTTATTGTAGTTGTTGCTATGACACTTTTTGTTTTAACTTGCATATATTACCAGCATGGTAATCATTCTTGCCAACTTGTCTCTAACCAAACTTCATGACATTATTTCACATTATATTGAAGAAAAAAGTTTTATTTTGGGAGAAAATGCTATCCCTCCCCACCAAAAAAAGCTCAGACAGGCACTGTTATAACGGGAAATTAAAAATAATCACTATACTGCAAGGCTGGTTTTGCTATGAATATTTTTTTTAAAATTCAATGATTTTAATACAGATACATGAAGATTATTTGAATTCCTTCACTGCAGTTTTCCTGGTCTGATCTATAGTGTGGTATTATTAAGGGCACTACAACGTTACTAGCTACAAAGTAGAAAAGATCCAAGTAGGATTATATTCAGAATGCAACTATTTAATAATAAAATTATGCAGCAAGAATTAAACTCCCATTAAGTCCTGAAAGGGCAGGAAAATTACCCAATTTTCTCTCTCTTTAAAGCAGCTGCCTCACAAATCTACCTTAAGACCTGTTCATTTATAAGGAAATGTAAGTGTTCTATGTATTATTTTGTAATACTAATTAGTTGTTAACAACTAATTATGTCTGATACATCATCAAGACTACTAAATTTTAGCATTCACTCTGCACCTATAGGTTACAAATAAGATCGCTGGTTTGATCAGATTTCCTACATTTCTTATTTTCCACTAAGTGTGTGTCAACTATTATTATGTTGGACTTTGTCCTTACTACAATCAAAAGCGTAGTGTTAAAAATGATCCTGCAGTGAGAATTGAAGTAAAATTTTATAATCATTAAATTAACTCAGTGGCAATTAATATATGACTGAGGTTTTAATTTTTTATCTACACTTTATTTGTATTAGATTTGTTTTGTATTCTGTTTATTGTATACATTTTCAAAATTGAAAAGCAAGGGATGAAAATAATTAACTTCTACTTAATTTTTACTCTTTCTTATTTTATAAAAATTAAAACAATTTTGTTGGCCCTAGGCTCTGGGCCTTTTGAGCCTAATAAATAAGTTGATTTGGCTGGCCTGTGTACCAATGATTTCCTTTTCGATCTGTAGAGGGTTCTGATTCACTGTACACAAATTTCATGGTCAGAAATCTGTTCTATGGGAAAGAACTGGAGACATTGTGCACTCTAAGCAGGTCTATGATCACAATTAAGAAACAGTTTATATCCAGCAACTGCCTCCCTTTCCTTAAAACCATTTTTATAAAATTATTTTTTTAATAGGAAAGAAATGGTTCAGGTAAAAGAAAACCTGTAAAACTTCAGAGATTTCTGGTTTAAGAGAAAGTCACTAGTGTAGCCTTATATAAATATATCCTCAGAAATCATATTCAAGAATTTAATGTTTCCAGCATCTGTACATTGTACTGATGTCTTATATTTTCAGTGAAATGGCAAAGAGAGTGTAGTGTGACAGTGACATTTTGCCTTTATTTCAGGATCTTTTTTTATCACAGCAACCTAATCAGAAATTTAGAGTGAAAAATAATGCCTGGCCCTATCTTTCAATAAATTGGAATTTGAACATGGTTCCCCAGTCCTACTCTAAATGTTCAATCATACTCCAGCTAAGCCTATTGCACAATATAATCTTAGAACACAATAACTCATATTATGGGCATTCACTGAGGTGGGCGGGGCTTAAAATCAGGAAATTAGTGGGAGAGGTGTCGCAATCCAAGCCCTGCCCCTTTTGGATGTGCATGGGACATCAACACATGACGTGTAGGTCTTCAATTTTGACATTATACACCCTCCCACTTTGCATATTTTGATATATATAAACTTTGAGCACACCATGCTCTGTGGCTATTCCCGATTGTTCCGTTTTTTTCCTGCTGTGTATCTAACTTAAAACATTCAGTAGTACTGCTATGCATTTGAATTGTCCGGAAAAACAAAGGCAACCATTGTGGGTGTATATTTAATCCCTAGAATCTGGATTATTTGATTCTCAGATGCAAGTTAAGTGTAACAAGAAGGCCCAATGTGATTCCAAAAGCAAAATAAAAGAAAAGAAAACAAAACAAAAAAGCAAAAGCAAAAGCAAAAAGTCTAGGTAATAATGGTAGTTACATCGTAGTAAAGAGAACAAAGAATGCTAGGTCACCTATTACCAAAAAATTGTACTTTTCCATATAAAATGTTTAATTGTAACTCCTACAATAATCTCAGCAGTGACTTGATTTCAATTACTCCGTAAAAATCCTAATGGTTTTTTCCCTGTAATTATTACATAATCAAGAGATAAAGCTCTGTTCTTGTACACAGGTTTGAAATTCACTGTCCAGTATTTTCAGACAGCTGTAGAAAAACAAATTCAAGTTTAAAATTCCTAAAAACCTGTTGCCAATTTACAGGTTGTACCAAATTGCAGGGCCCATAAACAATGTATTATACCATATAAATTACTTAGCGTGAAAGTAGGGAGCTCTGGTGGCTCAACAGACTAATTAACATCCACTTACATCTGCTGCCTGCAGTTACTGCAAGTTCAAATCTCACCAGGCTCAAGGTTGACTCAGCCTTCCATCCTTTCTAAGGTAAGTAAAATGAGGACCCAGATTATGGGGGCAATAAGATGACTTTGTATAAATATACAAAAGTATGAAGGCTATTGCTTAACGCATTGTAAACCACCCTGAGTCTCCAGAGAAGGGTGGCGTATAAATCAGATAAAAAAAAAAATGTTCAAATTGGTTGCTATTTTCTTCTAAACAATTCCATACTCTTTGATGCATGGCCTTTGAACTTCCTAAGTACAGAAACATTTTCTTTGAAAAATAAATAAATAAAAAGTTAATAAAACATACTGTGACAGACCTACAGCCTGATTTTGGATACACCTTATATTTAGGAAGAATTCTAAACTAGGTGGATCAATAACCCTACTCAGCTTTAAAGTTCTTCACTCCAAAACTGACCTTGATATCTGTGCCCTTACCTTTGATTCAGAAATATCCTAATTCAGACATTAGAGAATCTAAAACCTTAGAATCAAAAAGAGCCATTTAGGTCATCAAGACCAACCTCCTGCTCCATGCTGGATTCCAAATTAAACCATCCATAGCTCAAGATTTTTTAGCTTCTGACTGAGCTCATGTGGGAAGAGGATACTCAGAATTTTTCTTTGTAATGGCTGCACTGTTGGTGTTTACCTCTTAATGCTGTTCTAATATTAAACTAGAATTGACCTTTTTGTAATTTTAATCCATCACTGTATGTCTTGCCCTGAGATTTATAGCGAATGTGTCTGAAAAGTATAATTGTGCAACTACATCCTTTCAAAGTACAATTTCAGGTATAAGCTGATTAATTTTATTTTCTTCCTAGCAGCACTCTAAAATTTAGGTACATTTTGGAGACAGAAAAAGAACTGTAACCTGAGTTCACCAATTAAGATTGGTAATGAAAAGTTATAATTTGGAAATTCATTTCAAAGCTATTGATTTGTTAAACTAAGAATCACATTAGGCCATCATTAGTTTTTCTACATATGGTTAGCTGGATGTTAGAACTGAACTCAGTAAAATAAATGGATTCCTTATTATAATCCTTCAGGGAAACGTGTGAAAAATACTGAAAATAAATAAAATAAAGTATTTTTGCAATATTATCTTTGAATAGTCAAAATAATTTCATGGGATTTAAAATGCTGCCATAAAGTAATTTTAGAGATTACAATTTTAGAGATCTACTTTTAATTGTAATTTGGAGCTCAGCTTTAAGAGTGACTGCAATTTAATTTCTCTCCATGGAAAAAAGATGGCAGAAAAAAAATATTTAATGCAGATGACTATGAATCAGTGACATTAGACCATTTCCCTCCTTTTCTGTTTTGGCTGAACTGGCATTAATTTTATGGCATCATAAACAATACATACATGTAAAGCTTTCTGCAGTTCAACCAAGATATACATTTTGGATTTCTGCATATTTAATTTTCTCTGTAAATATTCAATGCCATTTTGTTCTGAAGACAGAAGACACACAGCCCTCCCACAGCCCGGGAGGATTTTTTATCAGGTCCGCCTGATTCGCCAGTTGCATCCCTTTCTGGATCGGGACTCGTTACGCATGGTCACTCATGCCCTCGTCACCTCCCGCCTGGACTATTGTAATGCTCTCTACATGGGGCTTCCCTTGAGGAGCACCCGGAGGCTCCAACTGGCGCAGAGTGCAGCCGCACGGGTGGTAATGGGAGCGACATGGCGCTCCCATGTAACACCTCTCCTGCGCGAGCTGCACTGGCTCCCGGTGGTCTTCCGGGTGCGCTTCAAGGTTTTGGTTACCACCTTTAAAGCGCTCCATGGCTTAGGGCCTGGTTATTTACGGGACCGCCTACTACCACCAATAGCCTCCCACCGGCCAGTACGCTCTCATAGAGAGGGACTCCTCCGGGTGCCGTCAGCCAAACAGTGTCGACTGGCGGCCCCTAGGGGGAGAGCCTTCTCTGTGGGGGCACCTACCATCTGGAATGAGCTCCCCCCGGAGATACGGAGGATCCCGGATCTGCGTTCCTTCCGCCGTGCTGTGAAGACCTTTTTATTCCATCAAGTGGGCTTGGCCTGATCTCTTCCCTTTTTAAAATATGTAAATTTTAATCTGTTTTTAAATTATTGGGGTATTTTAATTTGTCTGGGCCAAAAAGTTTAATTTGATTTTATCGGGTTTTTAAATTTTGTGTATTTATGTATTTTATTGTTGGCTGTTCACCGCCCTGAGTCCTTCGGGAGTAGGGCGGTATACAAATCAAATAAAACCTAAACCTAAACCTTTCATTATCTTGCACATGGAACAACTCTCCCCCAAAAGGGGAAGGGTCAAGTCCACCTTCCTTTCTTAAAATGAAAGTCTCCATTTATATCTGGAGAAGACCCACATAGGAAGCAAATGTATCAGATGGCCATGCGTACTACAGTTGCTCCCAGTGGGACTAGGAGGTAAAATCTGAAATGAGAATTTAACCGTTGAGTCCTTGGTGCTCTGGGAGTTTGATTATTTCCTTGCAGACTTTTCATTACCCAACTAAGTAACACCATTTGTTTGAGTGGAGTTTCTTACCTGTTTATATATAGTAGCTTACTCTGCTAGTGTTGGTGGAGGTAGAGTTTCCTCCTTGGTGGTTCCTTGAATATTGTTTTCTGCCTAATTGTTGTCTGTTGCTGACCCCTGTTTATTTGCATGTTGGCTGCTGGAGGCTATGTTCTAGTTTTTTTGTTTCTTTTCTAGGTAATTTTTAAAAAATATCTCTTGAATGGTATATAACTGTGGTTTATTTGTATGTCTGTTGATGGCTGATTTTTCTGAATGCTAAGCTTCCAGGAATCCCTTAGCATTTTTTAGTTTAGATTGGTCTAGAATACTAATACTCTAGTTTCCCAGTTGAAACTGTGGTGGGCTCTATTCGTGTAAGATTAATGAGTGTTCATCATGTCTTCTGACAGCTAGTTGGCGTTCATGGATTTGTTCTTTTTTTTTTTTTAAAAAAAAGATTTATATGCCGCCCTTCTCCGGAGACTCAGGGCGGCTTACAGTGCGTAAAGCAATAGCCTTCATACTTTTGTATATTTTTTATACAAAGTCAGATTATTGCCCCCACAAACTGGGTCCTCAATTTACCTACCTTAGAAAGGATGGAAGGCAGAGTCAAACTTGAGCCTGGCAAGATTCGAACTTACTTTAATTGCAGACAGCTGGTGTTAAATTACAGTGCCTTGTCCGCAGAGCTATCCAGGCTCCGCTCTGCTCTATCTACATAGTGGCTGTTGTATATTGTAGATAATTCCCGTTTTCTTTTGTTGGACTACTTTTGGTTTGCTTAAGATGTTTTGGAGGACTTTAGTTGGTTTGTGTGTTATAGCAATGCCATGTGGTTGTAGCAGTCTGTTGGTTGTTTTCGATAAACAATTAGGCAAAAAACAATACTCTAATCAATGAACCATCAGGAAGAAAGGAAGAAAACTACATCCACACTGAAACTGGCAGGACAAGCAGTAGCATGTAAACAGGTAGCAAACCCCACACTTACTCACACAGATGAGTGTGTTATTAGTTGAGTAATGAAACATTTGCAAGCAATTGAACGATGAGCATGAAGAATTGTCCTGCAATGTTATTATTTACCTGGGCTTTGCATCAATTTACTTTGCATCAATTTACTTTATTATAAAAATATGAGTATCTCTGATAATTATACAGGCTTGAAGTGATCACATGCTGTAACAATATTCCAGAAAATAGATAATTAAAAAAAAAAAAAGGAAACTCCTACAGGTCTCCTATTCAAATGTTATAATTAGGGCATTCTGTCATCACATGAACAATGGGGATAAATTCTCACCAGCCTTCTCCCTTCCAAAGGCTGGAGATACATAGCCAGAGAAGGCACTTATGCTACAGCAAGGTCATCTGCATCAAAAAGGCCTTTGTCTATAGAACTGTATGGGTATTTTCTTCCATATGATCCAATTACCCAGACAGATGGTAGACTCCTCTTCACTGAATGCATTCAAGGAGAGTTTAGACAGCCATCTGTCCAAGATGCTCTAATGTGGATTCCTACACTAGATTGGAGGTTGGACTCAATAGCTTAAAAGCCCCATTCCAACTCTGTCGTTTGACAAGCTCAAATCCTGATTGCACAGATTTTGAATTCATCTGGAATCCAGGATCCATCCAAGGGATTCTTTCTAGATGTCACTGGCAACATCGGTCATCTTTGACACTCAAATGAAAGAGATAAATGCTCAGTTTGCAATGCAGTAACAGGGCTATGATCAATTGGATATTCTTTGTCAGCCAGAGGATAATTTCTTTATGAAAATCTGGACTGCTTCCACCTGACTGGTTTTTTTTTGCAAATTGCTAAAAACCTGGTTATTTCCATAGGTCTCGGATAAGGATGGTGGTTGAGCTTCTTTGGATTTTGGTATATTTTGATTATTTAATAATATGGGATTGGTCTTTTGATCAGTTTTATTCTTTTTATTCAATATATGTTTTCTTTTTTACAATAATTATTAAATTGTAAAATTTTAATTGTAAGCTTGTAGAGTCAGGCATAAATTAAATTAAAAAAACCAAAACCTTCATTTACTTTTTCTAACTTTTAAGTAGTATTTCAATTCTGTCACCAGTTTCCTCAGTCCTTCCATCAAAATCTGCTTAAACATATTACTATTCCTGGAGAAAAATGCTTAATATATCAATAAAGTTCTGTAATAGATCTTGCAGGATCTTTTATATAAATTTGAGTGGCTACTTAATCATGGGGTAAACTTCCTTGTTTTCATATTTTGCCCTTAGACAACATCTTGTGGCTATTTCTATTTGAAATGTTTCACACAAAGAATTTGGTCTAGTTTACTTAAAAGCCTTACACTGAGCAGATTACTGTCTCAAAGAAAACAAGCATTTTACTGGTTATTCCTGAGGTTTTGCTAATTTTGAAACATTCTCTTTCTTTTTCTCTTAAATATCATGTGAACTATTCTTGATTCCAATCCATCAATGTATCTTACTTTTTAAATATGATTCTTTGCCTTGAAGTTCCTCAATTCTACCGTCAGTTGATCCATTCGTTTGAAGCCCAAATATTTATGTAGGTCTTAAACAAGTTCTAGCTGATGCACTGTGTTAAAAGGAAGAACTAAGTTATGTGGTTCTGCAGAAAGTTTTCATAAGTGCTAATTCTTTTGAGATGTGAACAATAAGCTGGGAACAAGCCGGGAGTTTAAGAAAACACAGATCCATCACGCCAACTCAGCAAAGTATTTGTTCTGATATTAATAGATTAATAGTTCCAGACTGTTTTATAGGTCTATAAGAGTTTTAATCCTGCAAGTGTCCTAGGTGCCTAAGCAATTTATATGGAAGTGGTGAGTGGTACAAACAGCACTATTTTTCAAAGCAAACCTAAGATATTGTAAACCTCATTCTGCATCTGCTGCATTCATTCACTCATTCATTGGCACACATCTTCTATCCTGCAGGATTGTCTTACCTGTTTCCTGGTCCGTGTCTTTCCCGTCCTAAGTTTGATGTATCTGGCTATCAGTTCATTCCTACCTGAAATGAATATGAATTTACAATGAAGACTAAAAGTAACAATTCATCATGAATAATATACACATCGGAACATAACTTAAAATAGATGCAAAGAAAAGATACGAGCAAACTTTTTCTTTTTTCTTTTTGCATAATGGCATTTTCCCATTTTTAAAACTCTTTTGCTATTTGTAGATGGGAGAATCCAATAAGCGAATACCTAGGTATCATTGGATTTTTTTCCCCCTTGGTTTTGTCCAAAAATTGTATTTCAGCTAAAACAGTTCTGGCATATGGGAAATTATTTTAATTGTAAACTATTCAGATGGCTTTTGTTTATGACCACTCATTCAGCAACCATTTACACTTACAATAGGACTGAACGAGTGATAGTTATGACTGGTCTTCAGAGTTCTGACTGTGCACTGCCCCCATGGTCATGTGATTACAATCCAAGCCCTTGGTGCCCAGGTCATGATTATAGTATTGAGCGATCACATGATCACAAATTTTTACATTCCCTTCCAGTTTCCCACAAGCAAAGTCAACAGGGAAGTCGCAAACACATGAGGTCCTCACTTAACAACTCATGTGGTCCTTGTTTAACCATGACAACTGGGCTTACCAGAACTGCCGTTGCTAAGAGGCATGATCACCTGACATCACACATCACTTAGCAATAGCAACTCTGGTCCCAACTGCCACTGGAATCCGAGGACTACCTGTATTAAAAAGAGAGAACAACGGCAGACAAAAAGCTGAAAAAAATTCAGACGCAAGCTGTTACAAAGTGGAGCAAAATTCTGTCACTAAACAATGTGATTATTGAAAAATACAAAGCTTATATAACTCTTTATTTATTTTCATGCCTTTGAGTCAGTGTCAACTCCTGGCAATTGTCTGGACCGTTCTCGGCAAGTTTTTTTTTTTTTTAAATAAGATTTTAGGTTAGTCATTGCCTCCTTCCTAGGGCAGAGAAAGTGACTGCCCCAAGGTCACCCAGTTGGCTTTGGGTCCAATGTGGGACTAGAGCTCAGGGCCTCCTGGTTTCTAGCCTTCTACTTTAACCACTATAGCAAACTGGCTCTCTACATTTAAATTTAGCTTACAACTAATATTAAATCACATTTTTGGCTTGGCTGTGACCACCTGTTCTAGGATGCCCCTCAGCACTAAAGAAGTTATATATTCTACTAACTGCAAAGGGCTAGATATTATATCAATAAGAGAATTCTGAAAACACTTGACTCCAATCAAGATTAGCAGGAAATGTTACTTCAAGACTTCCATTTTACTGCAAATTCAATTATCCACAGTAAATAAAGTTAACAAGGAGGCAAACAGCAAATTCCCAGGCCACAACATTGGTTTAACTTCACTTCTTTGTCTTTCCATCAGAAGGGTGTTTCATTACATAAAGGAAGTCCTTGACTTATAGCCATTCATTTAGCAACCATTACAATAATTTAAAAAGTGAGTAACAACCAGTATTCACACTTACAACTGTCACACTTACAACTGTCATGATCATGTATTAAAATTCAGGCACTTGGCAACAGGCATGTATTTACAATGGTTGCTGCATCCAGAATGCAGCATACCATTTGCTGCATTCCCAACCCATTTCCAACACGCAAAACTAAATGGGAGAAAATGGGACTCACTTAATGGCCTCAGTGATTCATTTAACAAATCTGGCAGAAAAAAAACCAAAATTGGAAGCAACTCACTTAACAACTACCTTGCTTAGCAAAAGAGATTCTGGTCCCGATCATGATCATAAGTTGAGCACTACCTGTAGGGGCAATTATCTCTACAAAGAAGCCCATCTCCTCAGCTATGCCCAATCCAATGTTTCTTATATTTCTTCCTCCCAGGACCCCTGCCCTCTTCTAAAAATTATGAAAGACGAGAATTTCTATTTTCATATGTTCCAGCATCATAGAAGATTCCAATTCATGTTTTTGGGGCATATATTTTGGGCATCTTATTCATAATTAGTGTTTTTCTTTTCATAGTTGGTTTCTATTCATGAAGTTGATATTTTTGAACCTTATTTTCAATTAAATCAAGCTACTGTTATTGCCTTTCCAAGTGAGCTTTTCTCCTTCGCAATTTTAATTTTTAAATACTATGGATTTCATCAGAATTCTTTTGAAATGCTTTCGGACTATGGCAGGGCAACACAATTTTATCTTCAAATCCAGATGTTGTTGTTTTGCTGATTTTCAGTGCATGTTCTAGTAGTGTTTGAACCGGTGGTGTTTAAGAGATGCTTCTCAGTAGCATCATTTGAAAAGTTATTTTAAGATAACCACTTAGAGTATAGCATTCAAAAAATTTAGCATCTCAGTCAAAAAGGGCTGAGCTGTTTAGCATCAGAGAAGAAGGGGGGAAAAAATACTTTCCTTCAAGCATTTATGTGCGTATATTGAATTGCCATGATGAGGGAGGAAGACATTTTAAATCCAAATTAGCAAAAAAGAAATCACTGTAGGCAGGTCAACAGCAGTTCATACAGTTTCCTCTGCTAGGTAAGAGACTTGCTATTTAAAAGCCATGAGCAAAATCTATTTTACGCCTTCACAAAAATAGTACAGCATAGGCAGGTGTTAAGTCATCCCTACAGCGAGTTTTGAAAGCCATCCCCTTTCTGAGCCTTATGGAAAAGCAGGGACTAAAAGCCTGTGAGATTGGGCAGCCCTTCTCAGCACAGGCTGTGTTTTGTTCAGACAAGCTTACGGCAGAAGGTCATGTGACACGGGCCAAATAAACAGCATCTGGGGATTTTCAATTACAGACCTTCACCCAGCATGCCTGCACTGTAATCTCTACCAGATGAGGCTCAGGCCTCACTATTTTCAATAATTCACACACTGTGTACACATAACATGACAATAAGGGCATTCATGCAACCGCCTGATTCGCACATCAAAGCTCCCAAATGGCCAGCTGTAAGCATGCTTACTGTTGAATAATTCATTCTTTTCACAGGCTTGAAAAAACGCTCAGCAGGACTTGGCAAGCTTGTCTTCTTTCCTGTGCGGTATGCTAAACTCACATTTTGAAAGAGGTACAACCCCACTCTTTCTTTAAAAAAAAAAAAAAGAGGAAGAAGAAAAAGGAACTGGATATTCAAAAATTTCATGCGCATTTGCAAATGGTTGTTTATATATATATTGTAAACTACAGTTTCAACTAACTAACAATAGTAATAAGAGAAAGAAAGCAGATACAAAACAACACTGTTTTCTGAGGCAGGTGTTTAATATATATATATATATATATTTAAAAAAGCCTTTTCCTGAAGGGTTTTCTCCTGTATAAATGAACGGGTACCAAAAAAATAAAAACAAAATAGACCCTGCATTTCCTGGAGCCAAACAATTTTCATGCTTGAGAAAATTAATTTTGATAGATCCATTTATTTTGTTCTATAGCTCTACCTTTAAATAAATACCTCCATTATCCAGGAAGGCAATCACCAAACAGCTCCCTTGAAGCCAACCTTCAAAAAGGACTAGATTGATCATTTCATTTTCCTCCTTTGCGCTTTATTAGAAGACTTTTACAGGCTTTTTAAAAAAAATGTGCAGCTATAATTTTAATTGCCAGAACAGCATCCTTAAACAGCCTTTATCATGTTTACTGAATTATGGTAACTGTTTCCCTGAGCTACCAAAGCAGGCAATCCTTTGCTTCATTATATCAAGTTTTCTTATCTGTCAATCAACCCTAAAACCAGCAGGATCAGCTAGTCATGACCTCCCCTCATAGCAAACACATGCTGTTTACCAGCTGTGGGTTGTGTATTTTTACACCCTTTTCCCTATCCTTCGGAGTGGTTTCCTCTTAATCACAATAATCCCAAAAGTGCTAAAACATATCAATCGGCTTCTAAGCCCTGCCTACAAAAGGCAAATGGGCTTGTCCAGCCACAGCTGATGCTTCATTCAACTGCAAATCGGATTTAGCAGCTACAAGAGATTTAGCATACCTGGAGAAATATTGAGGGTCACTCTTGCACAGTTAAATTAGCTTATATCCTTCTGCCTTACTGTTTGGTCTTTGGGGGATGGGGGGGTGTTATATTTTAATTTTTATTTGCATTCCTTAGTTGAACTGGAAGGAAGTGGGTTTCTTTTACCACTACTCGTCTGATAGTCAAATACATGTTTAATAAATTACGTTCAGATTTTTCATTCTGACAGCACTCATAAAAAAGGCATGAAATCCCAGCGTGTTTTTCCTGTCAAGTAATAACTATAGTGGGTTTTTTTTTATATTATACCAGAATGTTTTCATTTACTGTGCACTTAAGCCATGAAAATTTATTAGTTACTACATGAAAGGTTATTTAATAGGATACCACGTGAGCTGATGCAAATGATATGTATCTCGCTGTCCATAATAGTATTTGGAATAAAAGACATTATTAATAGAACAGTTTCTGAAACTAGGATTGTCAGCCATCCCTTGGCTTTGTCACTTTTTGTGCTCTACTCCCTCAAGACAAAATTGCTTGAAAAATATAAATAAAGTGTAGGAAGAAATATCCTTCTGGGTTCAGCTCCAAGTGGGGAAAGACACTGGAAACATGGAGACTGCTTGGAAAGATGGTTTAATGGTGGACAGGATCACATGGTTTGAGTTCCTGAACAGAAAAGGGGGCGAGATGCAGCGAGTCCCCGGGTTTTATGCCCTCTCTGGCTTTGAACTTCCTGGGGCCCAGAAAGAGTATCCTGATTGGTTGTCAGATTCCCAGGGGGTGGGGGTCTTAGCTAGCCTTGCTGGCTGATGTAATCTTCCTAGGTGCCATGTGGTGAGTTTCTGTTGCTAGATGGGTCCTATTGTGTTAGTTTCTGTTGCTAGATGGGTCCCATTGTGTTGCAGATGATGGTCCATTGTCAAAGATTGAGTTTCTGCCTCTGCCCCATTGACAAAGGGTAGGGGCAGGAAGATGGGAGCTGCTTCGTTTTTAAAACATGCTTCTCCATTTCCCCTCAAGGGAAACATAATAT